AAATTGTGTAATTTCTTCATCCTAAAATGATCAATCTTGGGCTCATGTCTCTGGTTATTAGTATACGTTCTGGTCATTTTATATTTAATATAGAATTGTATTGAGTGTTACATAAGTAGGACTATCAATGGGCTCATTGTGCACTAACATTTTACTTATTTTTCATCTCGAGTTTTTTCCAGAGTTAAAAGATTATTATTATTTCTACTACATGCACAGCTGAGATATTTAATATGCATTAATCATATAACATAATATATAAAACCATACATTTAAAAGACAGACGGATTAAAAAAACTGCATATTGCAGAATGAGGTACAGTGACAGTGGTTTCCTGACTTAGCTATAAATAGAAGATCCCAACAGGTGTAAGACGGAGAAATATGCTGACACTGATGTCCACAAATGCAGCACAGCCTCTCCTATATGTCATTGCTATTCTTTATATCATACAACTCGTGACTTTCCCCTCACTCACCTTGTAGGTGTTAGGTATTCAGACCACAGCAGCTTTCAGCCTCAGTTGGGTGTCTGCCAGGGAACACGACCTCTGGGGGGGGAGATAAAGGCTTGGCATCCTCCAGGAATCGTCCTGCTCTGACCTTTCACTGTACGGGCACATTTTATTATGTGAAATTGAAGACAGAAAAAGTATGCACATTTGAACGTTTTTTGCAGCCTTGTGCTCTAAAAAAGCCTAGTGACTTCCCACGTGCTTTTCAGTAGAATAGAAAGAATGAGAATGCTGGGATGAGCAAGGACACACTGTGACTGCAGAGGAATCTGAAGTAACCTACACACCTGAGGGAAAGAGGAAAGCAGCATTACTCTCAGTCCTACAGACAGATGCTGCCTCATGCTTGTTATACCCTGTCAGTATCTGCATGCTGTCTTCCTGCCATGATCTAATCACCACCGTAATCACATTTTCAGGCGACCTGGAGTTCATGTGCTTGTCTAATGGGCACAGAAGTGATTTGGAAGATTGGGAACCATCTTTAAGGTCCTTGCTTTCATCCATGCTGAAAATATAAAACCCATGGAATCATACAGCACTGTTTAACCCTCTGGAGTCGGTGGACATTTGCACATTTATTTACGTATTTAATCATAGATTTTCGCTTGTAAGGAGTAGAAATATGATTCAGATATCTGCGGAATCGATAGAATCGTAGCTTTTCAAGAGTATCTCCTGTGAGACTGTACCCAGGGCACAGCAGCCAATATTGCCGCTCAAAGCAGCTTGATTCGGCGTTACACTGTGTGTGATTGGTGGATTTGTGTGTCAGTCAAGGACATCTCGGCCGGCCGGCAGCCATGTCGGTCTGAAATGACCAATGGACACTCTAGAAATCTAAGGACCTACCCACCAATAAAAAAACATATAACAGGTGTCTCCGATCAGTTTCAGTCTTTTAGTCTGTGAAGAAGATAGAGAAAATGACTCGAAGGAACTTTACCGTTGCGGACGCGCTGGATTTTATTTTCGCGAGCGGCAGTGAAGAAGATAGCTCATCAGAACCTGAAGGCTTCGACTCTTCTGAAGAAGAAGAATACAGGGACAGCAGGGATCCATTTGAGGATGGGTAAGTGTAAATATAACTTGTAGTGCATTTGCCTTTTTGTGAGGAGTACCGCGAAAATGAACAATAGATTTATCAACCTTTTTATTTTCCCCTCATGAACTTTTTCTCGGGACAAAATAGACTCTTGATTAGTAAACGTTTACTCTGTGTAAATATTATTTATGTGTAAACGTTATTTTGACATGTATAAGTAAGGTTACATGTGTAGATGAATAAAAAGAATCATTTATTCGTCCCACAACGGAGACATTTATAGACATGTATTTTATTTGATCATACTGTTCTGTACAGATGAGACTTTGTCATAGACTTATTTACATGTGTGTCTGTGATTATTTTACCGTACTGTTCTGTAAAGAAGAGACTGTCATATACTTATTTACATGTGCATTTGCCATTTTGTGGGGAGGAGCACGAAAATGAACAATAGATTCATCAGCCATTTATTTTTTTCGTCATGAATTTTATCTTTGGACAAAATAGACTCTTGATTTACTCTGTGTAAACTTTATTTATGTGTAAACGTTATTTTGGTGTGTATAAGTAAGGTTACATGTGTAGATGTATGAGATAATCCTTTATTTGTCCCACAACGGAGACATTTATAGACATGTATTTTTATTTGATCATACTGTTCTGTACAGATGAGACTGTCATAGATTTATTTATATGTGTGCCTGCCATTTGTGGGGAGTGCTATGTAGTAATGGGGAGTACAATACATAGGTGTGTGTGTGTGTGTGTTGAACTTCGTAATAATTATTGTCCCACAATTTGTATTTGTTTTACAGAGAGGTTTCACAGCTGCCTGGGCCTAGCAGCCCACAGATGACATTTATCCAGGAGCCTCCAGCTGTGCCTGCCACCATGTTGAGATCTACCGTGGATCAAGGGCCTTCACCACTGCCATCCCCACCAAGGACTAGCGGACCAGCATCACGACAGCTGCCTCCATCTCTGCCTGCGACAAGGTCAAGATACACCTCAGCTCCACGACAGCCACAGCCATCACCATCAACCCGGACAGCAAAGAGGTCTCGTAGAGCACACGTACCTCCCACACAGCCACCAGCTGCCCATGCACCATCACCCCCACCTGCACAGCAGCCAGCTCCACTGTCTTGGAAGACAGGCGAAGACCCTGACACTGCTCCCCCTGTCTCCAGGTTTCAACCTGCTCGCACACCCGGGCCACAGCTCAGCTCAACAGTATCAAACAAAGCCCTTGACCTGTTCAAGCTGTTCTTCAGTGCACTAACAGTACAGACACTCTGTACCAACACAAACAAGCGGGCTGCACAGGAGATGGGAAAGGGTAAAACCTACAAATGGACTGACTTGACTGTAGAGGATTTCTATAAATACATGGGGCTGCTTCTATACATGGCCCTGCTGAAACTGGACAATGTATTGGACTACTGGAGGCAGGATCATTTTTTGTCAGTGCCTCTGCCAGCACAGGTCATGTCGCTTGACAGATACAGGACAATATCCTGGAACTTGCATCTCAGCGACCCTGATGAGGATTTCCAGAACGACAGCAAAAAGGGCACACCCCACCATGACCGACTGTTCAGATTGAGACCCCTCATGGACACCATCAAGACTGCGTGTAAGGCCTTTTACCATCCCCATAAATACCTGGCTGTGGATGAGAGGATGGTTGCCTCCAAGGCTAAGACTGGAATGACCCAGTACATGAAGGCCAAACCAACCAAGTGGGGATTCAAGCTGTTCGTCATAGCTGATTCGAGGAATGGCTACACAATAGACTTTTCTGTTTACACTGGTAAAAGCGACATCCTCTCCGGACATGGCCTGTCGTATGATGTGGTAATGTCTCTGGTGCAGGCAGGTTACCTCGGAACAGGTTACCATATTTACATGGATCATTTTTACACCAGCCCGAAGCTGTTCAAGGCTCTCCATGCCCTAAAGTTCGCTGCCTGTGGGACCTACAGAGAGAACCGCAAGGACTGCCCAAGGCCACAGACTAACGCCCTGACAAAAAAATCCAAAAGAGGCTCCATAAGATGGATCAGGGTGGGCCCACTGGTATTTGTGAAGTGGATGGACAACAGGGAAGTAGCTGTCTGCTCCACCATCCATGAAGCATACTCTGGCAACACCGTGCAGAGAAGGCAGAAGCAGAGAGATGGCTCCTGGACCCGAGTAGAGACCCCCTGTCCCACACCTGTTGCTGAGTACAACGCACACATGGGTGGAGTTGATCCGTCAGATCAGCTCATACAGTACTACTCTTCAAAGCACAAGACCATGCGCTGGTACAGGAGCCTGTTTTATCATTTCCTGGACATTGCCACTACAAACAGCTACATTATGTACAAGGAAGTCTGTCTGTCACAACAGAAGAAGCCCATGACACACAGAGCATTCATGGAGGAGCTGAGTGCTGAGCTCTGTGGCAAGCCTGTCCATACACCTCCTGTCCGGGCACCTGCAGCTCATCTTCCTGTGCCCATTGCTGATGTCCAGGCAGCAAGCGACAGGGCCACCACAGGTCGCAGGGAATGCCAACATTGCTACTTTCAAGGCAAGAGAAAAGACACACCTTGGAAGTGCAAGCAGTGTGATGTTGCCCTGTGTGTCTCACTGGAACGCAACTGCTTTGAGGCATGGCATGAGAACTTAATCTGAGTGAAAGTCCATCATCTTCTCCCGCTTATCCATGGTTGGGTCGAGTGGTGAGGGAGTGTTTTTTACAAATAGTTGAAAAAAAGCTCTGGTGTTCAATATTGTAACAAGTGTGTATTTGCTGTTTTTATTTGTATGTATAATGAATAGTTGGTTGAAGGAAAAAAAGTTCTGATGTTCAATATTGTAAATAGTGAGATTTTGCAGTTATATTTATATACATTGTTGGTATTATAATAAATTGTTGGTTGAAAAAAAAAGTTCTAATGCTCAATTCTTTTTTTGTGTACACATCACATGAAGCTTGGTATGTAAGTCATTATTCAGTCCTGATATATCTCAGTCCCTGCTGTGGTGAAAGTAGAGTGATTGACAGCTGTTTTATTTTAATTTATAAAATGTCATTTTAGACATGAATAACACATTTATATACAGTATAATTCAAATATGTCACTACTTTTGTAATCCTAAGACTTTGGTAACCAAATCTAAAACACCAAAACAATTCGATCACATGAGTACATTTGTGTTTTCACAAGAGTTTTGAAGATTTTCCGAAAATCGGATGTCAAATGTTAAGCTTTTGAGCTACTTATCTCATCAAACAGTGCTCTAAGGTGAGTCATTTGCATATATAGCAATACTAGAGATTGTCCTGAACATTTTGATATGTAACACATGTGCCATGTTAGAAGAAATACATTTAAAAGGTGATTTAAGAAAACATCTAAAAATCGAGAAAATACCCTTAGACTCCAGAGGGTTAATACATCTATACAGCATCATTATAAAGAGTATTACTGAAACCAAAACATTATAAGGTCACCTGACACTAGATTTGCCAAATATTTCATTGTAAAGAGAAAATATAACCCCTACGCAACAACAATGGAGTTTTTGTTTATGCTGTTAATTCAGTTTTTACACCTGGAAATACTACGATGTTTGCAATATTACCAACAAATATCAGTACTGTCAGGGAATGATATGCCCTGCATGTCTTCCTTCGCCCTCTGACGCAGATGCCCAGCCTTGAGCAGCCGTTATCTTTGCATTTTGTTGTTGTTACCCATTTATGACCGGGCAACTCTCCGTCAGAGATAGTTATTGTTGTGGGACACCTGGAACACATCCTTCTCAGGGTGGAGATGACCTCGAGCCATAAGCGACAACAAATGTGATTCAGTGTCCGCAGCTGTTTAGTCTATCTATTGAAGAATGTTGATTATTACACTCTGAACTAGTTAAAACCTGGAACTACAGGAGGGTGCTTCAGAATTGATTGAGGCATCTCAACCGTGTGGTCGGATCGTGGCCCGTGACATGTCTCGTGAATTCTCCGGCCGAAGCTCCAAATAACCCGTCAGTGTTTGCCATCAAAGCTCCAGCTCTCCTCGTGTCTCTCTGAGTTCTGACTCCAATTGCTTCAGAAGTTTCCCCCACAAGTACCAGTACCAAAGAGTTGTTACAATGTCACATTAAGAGAAACAAATCAAATACATCACAACCATTAAAGTATGTGATAATGACGGATCTCTAATTATAAGAGTATGATGCCGTGATCTGATTTATTGAAATGATGAAGTTTCACCCTTTATTCTGTGCCTCTACATTTCCAGAGTCTACATTTTATAACTAAATCGTTTATTGAGGTCAGTCTGTTACAGTTCTCTTCCACACAATTCAGATGTGTAAAGAGCTTTCTACAAATGTCTCAGTTGAAGATCTTGGCTGATCTGAGCAGCTGACGGTCTCTCATCTGTGTTTGGACTTACTGGCCAGAGCCTGCATGTTAGCTGGGCCCCCCCACACCATCCCAAATACGTCCTTCTCTGTCCTCAGAGCCTCAGACAGGGGGAGCTCTCTCCCTGACAGCACCACCTTCTTCACAGCCTGGATCACTGGGGCAGGACCCTTTGTGTAGACACTGAGCCAGTTCTCAGCCCGCTGCAGGGGGGTGCCCGTCCCCTCCCCCTGCAGGACTTCCTCTGCCAGTCCAATCTGCAAGGCCAGTTCTGGATCCACTTTGACAGCACCTCCCAGCAGCTTCAGTGCATTCTGGCTTCCCACAATGCGGACAAGTCGAGCGGCACCGCCCCAGCCGGGGACCAAGCCCATGTGTTTATGTACAAACTGGATCACACTGCCAGGTGCCATTAACCTATGAGAGAGATGACAGACACACGTTAGATTATTATCAGCGTTTAGATGAACGCTGATATAAATGTACGTATTCACCTGAAATCGCAGGCAGTGGTGAGTTCTGCACCCCCTCCCAGAGCTCTCCCCTCCACCAGAGCAACAGAGATCATAGGCAGCCTGCACTGAGGACATTCTTCTGTAAATGTACTGAAGTGGACATTACATAACAGCTAAACTCCAACTCTTGTAAGCTCAGACTGGTTGCTGCTGATTTAGTCGGCGTTGTCCTTTGCAAGACATTAGAAAAAGAGAGTCCTTACCTGAGTAGTCTTGTAAGAGTATTCTGCATAAACATACACATCTTCATCCCATCCTACAAGGAAGAAAAAAACATTCTGTAGTTTACATCCATGAGACATAAAGATACAAGTACAGAGATACAGGCAAACATTGCAGCAATAAACAGACACAGCAAGTATTTGAACGAAAAACTCCTAAAGATAAAAGAAAAAAATCATATCTGAATCATTCAAATTCAATAGTATTGTCAACATTAACCCAAATGGCTCATTGTACAAAGATAAATGTGGGTTAATTGTACAGTTTATCAGTTATTTAATACTTGAATTGTCATGTATATATTTATTATATACAATATATATAAATTGTCTTGTATATAATGTGAAATATTAATAAAATATGTCACTTTGTCCGGGGTTGTCCGTTCAATCAATGGTTTGAAAAAAGGGTACTCGTAAGGCAAAATATTTAAAGTCACTGCTTTAAATCATGTTGTTGCTGGGCTACCTGTGGGTTGGTTAAGGCCCTGACAGCGTTGAGGTCTGATCCAGAGCAGAAGGTTCCTGAGGCACCCTGAACTATGAGGCCTTTACCGTCTGTCCAGCCCTCCAGCTGGCTCACCCTCTCCTCCAGATCCACCATCATACTGCCTGAAGAAAAGGTGACAATATTGAACTGGGATGATATGTCATTTGTTTATGATTGTGTGCAAATGAGTTTAATCCAAATCTGCACTAGTAAATCTGAGAGGAAGTGTTAATGCCCTGTCATGTTACCGGAGAAGGCGTTCATGCGGGAGGGGTAGTTGATGGTTAGCACAGCGAGGCCAGACTCCTGTGTGAGCAGCTCAATGGAGCCTCCAGGAAAGGCCTGCAGCTTCTCTCTGATCTCCTCCTGCTGGAAGCCATGGACGCTGGAGTACACACAGCCCCTGCTCTGTCTCTGCAGGAACCTTATAGGAACAACATTCAAAAAGTTGAATTATATCCTGTCAATTGCAGTTCATCTATATGTAGATCCATCACTTACACGGGAATAAAAAGAGAGGAAATGTTGTTCTTTACATGATCAGATGTGTGCTTGAAGCTAAATGATACATTCATTCAAATCAGACTGAACGTGCAGGTGTAATTGCAGTATAAATAAATGGTATGCAAAACTGCTTAACGGAAATCATACTTGTGGTGCTCGTGACTGATGAATACTTAAAATACACTCCCTCAGTGTACCGGTTTGTACATCAGCCTGAAGGGTCATGGTACAGAGCCACACAAACAAACGTGTAACCCTGAGAATGAAACAGCTCAGATTTGGACTCATTGTAATCAGGTGTCAGAATTAAAGATGTATTACTTTTTTATAGATTGATATTTCACAAATCCAAGCGCCTGAGAAATGCATTTTGGTTATTAGACTTAATGTTTCTCAGCTTGGTAGATTTAATGTTCCTTTATTTATGACACTGTTTACCATCACCTGCGTGGTAATAAACAATGCTGACTAGACTCCCTTACCTGGCCCAGGCTCCACGGCTGCCCCCCAGGAGATGCTGCCTCACAGCACACAGAACCATCCTGAAGCAGAATGCAGATGGTACAAAATATGGGTTTAAATATGTGGAGTCCTTTTGTCACAAGATATAGAAGCTTTGAAAAAAAGTATACATTAAATTAAAAATGTATATACAAATATTTATATAAAACTGACTGGCACTTAAATCAAATATAAAGTGCAGTTTCCTACTGTTCAGTGTAAGAATGAAATGCTGCATTGATATAGAAGCATTTGAAAAGTAATAAGAATTCTTAACATGCTGAATACTATATATCCGAATCAAATAGAAGAAACACTGACATTCAATAAAAATGTGTGTCCTCTCACTCCTCTGACTGCTGACACTATGAACTGTCTAACATCCAAACTAAACCATTTGTAACCAAAACTTTATTTGGGAACTACAAGGTGTAAGTATTCATTTCTAACTTAAATGTGTAGGCCACTAGCCTACTCATCCAACGAAAATCGGATACAACTCATACATTTCGTAAGACATATTTAACATGACACCATAGTTTAATGATAACAAACCACTGAGAATCAAAAGACTCGAACACCAACCTTGCTGACATTCGCCTGGTGTCACTCTGAAATTCGTCCCACCGGAAACTAGAGCTCTTCGGAAGAAACTAATTGAAACACACATGTAGTTTCTCAAAGTCCCCACAGGGGGGCGGTATAATACCAAGCAGAAAAAAACAAAATATCAACTCTTGCATTAAAGGAATTACATGTATCCATTATGTTTTCGTGCTACATGGACCATATACATTCTACACAACGCACTACAAATAGAGGCTTTCCTTTATGCTGCAACACGAAAGTAACATTATTATACATCATTGGCCAATGCACTGCACAGAGAGCTCTGCTCTTTGTCTGTCACAAGTGTGTAAACACAGACTACTGTCTACTGGCTCTCACACATGTCCTTATTCAGTTGTATTGACTGTGGGATTAAAACAACGCCTACGAGTTATAATACAGTTTTGGCAAAGGGCAGCTGACATTTATATTAACGTAGTCACATTTGTCATCACTATGCTGTGTCTGTGTTAAGATAAGACATCAAAATAACATTTTCTTTGGCACAAGAACTAATACATATTTAATATTACACATACTGAATTTTAAAAGTCATGTTACTTTGGTAACTTCCAAGTCTTGTCAACAAAAAGTCAAACAAAAACGTGCTATGGGATTTTGTCTCATCTGTAGCCAAGCCTTATCTAACCGGACTGAATGTCTCTAAAATGAACATAATAGGTATTATTTTCAAAGATGTTAAATGTTGTAATAATATCAAAACAGAGTTCACGATTAGGAGGCAAGCAAATTCACCCATACTTTTGAATTATGGGCAATAGTTGAGTTCTAGCTTTGCACTTTTGCCATTACCTCCTAACACGTAATATCATCCCAAAAAAGGGATTTACATTGTTCTAAAGGTTAGTAAAAAGTGTGAATTGCTCTGAGATCGTAGTACTGTGCAAACACAGACAGATATAAATTGCCACAGACTTGAAGGTCCATACTTATTCTGTGTATAACCAATGCATCTGTGTACATTCTGAGGTTTGTTGTATTTGGTGATATATAATGTACGTGTGATTACGTGTGTGATTATTACGCGTGTGATTATACGAAGACCAAAACATATTCAGGAAAAGGAAGGTAAATGTGCCAAAACAGAGGGAGGATGAGACACTTCCTGTCCACTAATCTGATCTATGGTAACTTGGAGCATATCCATTCTTCACCTCTATCCACACATCCTCTAACTGTATTCACAGCCCTGAAGATATTTGTGAAAACATACACACACTGAGCATTCCAGAGAGATGCTCAAAAAAGGTTGAGCATTTGAATCAAATTAGAAATACAAATAGAAGTCCTGCATCTAAAATCTTCAGTAAAAGTACAAAAGTAATAGCATCATAAATCATAATATACCTAATGCACAAAAATCATCATGCATCAGGGCCAATTTCAGGTGCATATAAATATATAAATACATTTCACCGATGCTTGTTCAGTTTTCAACAACCACCCCTAAATAAACACTTACAGAATCATCTACTTTGGAAGGAAATGGTTACAATAATACATGCAAAAGATTCATTCATGTTAGATGTTTTTGGACATACCCTTAAAAGTGTAATTATTTACTAGCTATTCAGACACAGTGAATCCTTACATTTGACCCTTCATTATGAGTGTGTAATAACCAATCAGAGGGATTTTTCCCTACATGGGTATCCTTGTGGAACCAAACTCATTCATGACTTACTACAGACATAACAGGTCAAGGATACAGTGTACAGTATCCAAGACTGTCAGAAGTCCATACCTCGCTCTCTGGTCTATTTAAAAGAGGGGAAGGAATTCAAAAAGGTCGGTGGGATGCATCCAAGGCAGGCATTCCAGACACGCTGACTATTCTTCATGCTCTGTACAGCACTTTAAGCTATAGGTCAGCTAGCCGGCAACCTGTCTCCAAATATCAGGCTTTCATTTGCATACATAGTATTTCTAAAGTCACCCACAAGTGTGTATAAGGGATTATTTTACTACAAAGTATTTTATAAAATGTAATTCCCAAAGCCATTATCTCACCATCCATGCCCACTTCCACTCTGCACAGCCCTTTCACTCATTCTGATTAGAGTCAGCCTTCTGTTTTATAATCTTATATAATATACCCGGATATCAGCGATCCAGCTGCAGACTCCAGCTGATAATGGAGGCCTGTCTGAAATAACAGCCTGTGTGTGTTCCAGTCATAGACTGTATATATAAAGGTTCCAGTGAGTGGGCGTGCGGGTATGAGGCCTCTAAAGTGATGCATCAGGGTATGGATCGATATGCAGCTGTCCGGGGCTCCACAGGAAGTCAGGGAATGTGCTGCAGTCAGCATGGCTCTATACCAACTTACCAAGATAAGAAAGCACACACACACACACACACACACACACACACACACACACACACACACACACACACACACACACACACACACAACACACACACACACACACACACACACACACACACACACACACACACACACACACACACACACATACACACACACACACACACACACACACACACACACACACACACACACACACACAGATGCAGATAAGTGCCAGTGAGGGTCTATTTCAGGGCAGGAAGAATGGCAGGTTGGCAGGTGCCAGAGACTCTCAGGGGCCTGGAGGTTTCCTGAGAGGAGCAATAGAGAGCTGGGGGGCAGAGGGCCAGCGGGAGACATTTCGAGGGCCAATGAGTAGGGGAGACCAGGGACAGTTGCAACACTTTTTGGGCTTTTCCCCAATAAGTAAAAAACTATTTACAATAGGATAGCCATTTTGCTATACATTATCAATATGTCAGCTACTGAAACAATATATTTAAGATGTTTTATGAAATAAGTACAGGTTGGCAAATGTATTTTTTTTTTAAACTCAACTGTTACAACTGTCCTTGTGTACAGGGACAGTTGTAGCACATGCCAGGCACGGTTGTAACATGTTAATAACGGTTACCTTTTTCACACCACATGACAACAAATAGGGAAAGCTGTCAAATTCTAAGGCAACAAGATTTGAATGGGGTTTCACACATCCCCCAACAAACAATGAGCAGGATAACAGATAACACACACAGCATCATCCTCTGTGAAGGATTAAACTGTTCTCTGAGAGGTGCTTCTAGCTTAATTATGTGGACCTACCTCCTTTGAGCTGAGACCATAATATAAATCAGCTGCCTCCATCAGGTAGTCTCTCAAAAGCATCTCCTGCTCTGTTGAGAACACCTTCTTTGGTGTCCAGTAGCCTACTCTTTGGGGTGTTTGTGATCCCTGACTCTCCAACCTCAGCCTCTTTGTATGGAACCGGTACAGGGTGACATGGCATATATCCAGGGACTTTGCCACTTCCCTGAAGGATTTGTCCTTCTCAACTTCATTTGAGGCCCTCTGCAGCAGAGCAAGTGGCACTCCCCTGTCTGTCTTCCTCTTTCTGACATTTGGCATACTGTAAACACACACACACACACACACACACACACACACACACACACACACACACACACACACACACACACACACACACACACACACACACACACTTTAGGCCTACTGTACATTATTGTATTCTGTTTAGTTTTACAGGGACAATGCACACCAATCAACAATACAACTGTATGCTTGAATGAACTGATCATTCAAGCAAATTAGCCATCATTGTAAATGTGCCATGTTACAACCGTCCCAGGACCACCAGTCTTGCTCCACCCCCTGTGAACCTGCCTGATTGCTAGCTTGACCCATATTTAGCTAGTTATATTTGTAGCTTACAAAACAGTGATTCTAATAATACTAGTTTGGATTCCTAGACATTTGAACTCAAGACAGTATCCAAAAAATACATCATATATATATATATATAATATTAATATTTTACCTCAGAAACACACTTTTGCTGATATCTTACGCGAGAAATTCAAACGTGGCTCCTTTTTTCTTAGCGATCTTACCATCTAACTGCGCATGTGCAGAGTGAGTTTCATCACTCTAGCTTGTTTGTGATTGGAGATATTGAAGGTGTTACAACCGACCCGTGTTGCAACTGTCCCTGGTCTCCCCTACTTTTCCAGCAGCAACTGGGACATGTTGAAAGCAACTCACAAAGCAAAACCAAGAGACCATGTACAAAAAGTAAAAAAACATACTTAAATTCATTCGTAAGGAATCTCATGTGACCCTTATCTCTGTGTGTGACCAAATATGATGAGTCTGTTGGGCCTTGCACTGCAGAGAGGCTTGAGGGCCGAGCAACATTTCCAATGTATACTGACACACACTAAGGAAGTATCACAAATGATGTCCAGACATTAGTCAACAACTAAAACTGCTAATTAGAATTCCTGTGGATAGTATAGTGAGTGAACATTTAAAGATAAAGTGCATATTTGATACCATAGCTGGGAAGAAATCGTATACCAAAAGGGATATTTACTCAAACTAGTTTATTAAAAACTGAAAAAGTCTCAAAGATCATTCCTAAGTGATCTAATATGACTTCAATGTATTTTGACATGAAAAGAAAATATTCTGAAAAGATAATGACTAAAAATGTCGAGTCATGTTTGGCCATTAACTGCAGAGTCATAGTGCTAATGATTACTTAGAGATTCTTTGGAGGCCAATCAAGCATTACTATGTGTACTGAGGAAACAAGTAGCCAAAATGTAAATAGATTTTTAAATGATTTTACTCAAGGTTGTAAGAGGATGAGTATAAAAGTCTTATTAGCCCCTTGTCTCTGGCTGAACCTACAGTCCTATATTTGCAAGATAAAAGACAGATTGCCCCATAAATTCTTTCCTGTGTTATTGTGTTTTTCAGCAGCACTGGAATCAAAACAGTTAGTACTGGTTATATAAATGGTTTGAGCATCTGGAAATCTCCAGACTTGACCACAGGCCAGTCCTGGGAGTCCAGGCTGCTGCCCGGCCTTGACACAGGGAAACAGTGTGAGACAGCCAACACAGCGCTAGGCATCAGAGAGAGGATGACAATATT